TTGAATACCGAATAGTCTGATAAAATGAATAAAAAAAAAAAAAAAAAAGAGACTTGAGATATTTTACTCTCTGTTTTCATATAAAGTATCCCGGCATGTTTTAATTTTCCTAGGCGTATGAACTTTTCTATTTCCCGGTTATTATATAATTGTCAAGATAAATCTTTATTCCTAGGCGTATGAATTTTCTATTTCCCGGTTTTATATATATATTGCTGTCTTATAAAGGTTTTACTTTTTCCTTTTATTATTGAGTTGTTGGCTTTAAATCAAGAATAATGATATTACCCTATATCTAAAAAAAAATTTATTTTTTTGAGATCAAGAGTTTAAGTCTCTCTCCCCGTCTCTTTTTCCCTTTTTCCTCCCCCAAAATAAAAAAATAATAAAAAGACTTCGCGTAACTTCAAAAAAAAAAAAAAAACAGAAGAACAAGTCATATTCTGTAAGTTTTTTTTTTTTTTTTTGAGAAATCATATTCTGTAAGTTTGATGTCCAAACTTACAGATATTATCCCTTTTTTTTTTCTTAAGAACTCCCAAAATAGCTGAGTATGGGATTTTTTTTATAGAAATAATCTGAGTATAGGATTATTTGTCAATAATGCTTTTGGAATTTAATTTGTTTTACATAATTTATTAATTTAATTTATCATAATTATTAGATTAGTTATAGATTCTAAAAAATATTAGAGTTCACCGCCAATCGAATGATTATAAATAATTAAGTTAACAAGTAAAATAAATCAATTAGTATAAATACTATTTTTTTTTCTTTTTTTTTTCCTCTTTGGGAAGATGTTAAATTGGATTTAGAGGGGTTTTCATAGAAAGCATAACTTTTTACTCAGATTAGATCGCCAAAAAAATATCGTATATTGATTAATGAGTAATGTTATTGAATTTGATTTATTGACGTAATCATTCTTTGTTATTGAATTGACAGTATACTCTATTATTAGTTCAACAAATAAAATTAATAAATTAAATTCAAATAATAGTTTATTTGATTAATTACGAGTGAGGTTACATGTATAAGATTAATTTTTTATGTATTAAATTTGTGTATTAAAATTTGTATCAAATTAATTACAGCCATTAAATCAATAATAAAACCCAATAATCCAAGGATTACAAGTGATTTAAGGCAAAATTTGTTGCACATAGCATTGCAAGTGTAATTATTATTTCAACAATAATGTTACACTGATTAAAATTTAGAATTAAATTCAGAACTCAATAGACATGACAGTTGACTTGAACTTCTTTATTTAGTGTCATACCATTTAGAGTCTAATAAAAATTTTAAATAATATATTATCACGTGCTCTAAATTTTGTTCTAAAATTTGGTCACATATCATTTCTCTTATTTCAATAAGTAAGACATTCTTTTGCGTCTGGTGTGTCTTTGAGAAGCCCAAGTGATCCATGCCGTCAGTTTTCTGACGTTCACCATCAAGGTCTCTCTCTCTCTCTCTCTCTCTCTTTGTGGCACCTCCATAGATGAAAGAACATTACGTTCACTTTTCTGGTGTCTATCAGTTGCTGGTGGGAGGGCGGTAGAGTATTTTACCGCCACCATTTTCTCCGCCTTCCTTTTCTGGTGCAAAGCTTTTCCAGCAATCAATCTCGCACTGACAAGATAAGGTGATATATGCATATAGAGATTAAGAAAAAAAATACATATCAGGAAGAGAGACAAGGAATAAGAAAGATGGCATGAGTTAATTGAGTGTGTGTGTATGCTCATTCATTTTTCTTTACTTCTTATTTAACCCTATCCCTTCCCTCTCTTCCCATCCCTCCAACTTTTCCTTTCCTCCCTGTTTTCCCTCGGGATCTGATCTTTCTTGACAACTAAACGACTTCTTTTCTGGGTACAAATATCTTTTAGTTTCAGTTCAATTCCCGAGAAGAACTTTTGTCCAACATTCTCTCTTGGCTTCTTTTTTTGTCTGCTTCAGTGGGCTTCAAAAGTTGCAAGAGAGTGACAAGAGAGAGCTTCGAAAGTTACTCTATCTCTTCTCTGATTGGTGGAAACAAGATTGGCTTCACCCGGATCGGTGGAGGGATTTTCAGTTGGTCAGAGGACACTGTGCCGGATCATCAAGGTGGTGTTTTCTTTTTTCTTTTTTGTTTTTCCTTCAAGGTGGTTTTTTAACATTCCGACTGTTTTCTTCTTTTAATTCTTTTGCCTTCTGGTTTGGCTTCATTCGATCTTAATGGTGTATCTTTAATAACCATTCTTCTGGTTCGAGCAGTGTGTTCACTTCTACGGATGCTTTTGCTGCAAATTTGTTGTTTAGAATGATAATCTCTAATACACAATTTGTCCGATCCGATCTCATCCATATATGTATGCAATGACTAAATATGATCTGATTGTTTACCTACATCATTGTAATTCTATAGATATACATAACTAGATTTACATTTATGCCTTCTCAATTTTCTTCTTCTTCTTCTCCTATACTCCCATTTTGTCCATGTCTCTAATGGGGTGCCCGTCTTTAGCATTACTTTTGCAATTTCAAACATTTTTATATGAATAATAGCCACAAAATAATCTCAAATTCCTTTTCTTTTTGTCTTTTGTTTGCTTTTCCTCATCCTGGGATTATTCTAGCTGGATCTTATCTTATTTGTAAATGGACTTTGATTTATAACTTAGAAAAACTTTTTCCAACAGCAAGATAGTACAAACAAGGGTGCAGAAGTGTATGATAAAGTAATTTAGAATCGTCTAAACCACTTATAAAATTGTTAGCAGTAATCCATATTGTAACAAATCATTCTTGATTATACTCGATTCAGTTACTTAGTAAATGTTTGTGATATGCCATAATTGTTTTATGAATTTGTTTTCATGTGTAAATGACCTCTATAATTTAAGAGATGTATTGAACTTTGATTAAACATTATTCTTAGCTAGCATTCTCTTTTTGAGTCAGGAAAACACTTTCATTTACCTTTTTTCCTTTCACGTTTAATGCCTCTAACTAAAAGCAAACTGGAGTGGTTTACTCTAGAGTAGGTAGCATGCTTCTAATTCATGCTTATTATGATTCCATTTGTCTTTGGAGGCATCACAAGAAAATAAGAAGACCAAAGCAAAAAGAACTGAGTTGATATCAATTTCAATAACCTATACGTCTCTATTTGTAGTGGCTGATATAGAATGAAAAAAATTACATGAATGAGGAGATTAGAAACTGAATATGAGGATTGATGAAATTCTTCAATGGTTACAAAAAATATGCAGGTTTATTTAAAGACGCCGAAGTCGTGATCCAGTTCAATAACAATCATGGTTTGGTCTTGCCTGATTTGGGTAGAGTGGGGAATGAAAGCTGTGTAATTTAGGTCCCCAACATTCTGAAGAATAAGCATGAAAATTGTTGTGGAACTATTGAACTTTTTAAACACACAAGTAATTGGATTTTTTTTCAATGTTGTTGTCTAGAAGTGTTTTCCAAGAATTTGCAATTAAAACTGGATGCTTTACCGTATTCATTAGCGCTTTCTTCACGGAAATCGTCCCCTATGAAAAATAATATTGTTTTTCATTCAAGAGTTTGCATGTGCAGCTGTGCACCATTATTGTTTTGTACAAGGTTTATCTTGCAACGTTGATAAAGAATAGAAACTGTAGAAGATACTGTTTTGCCTCACCCACACTATATGAAACAATCTTTTATGTAGCAATGTATTAAAGCCGCAATATAACATGGTGTGCGCTCTCAAATGCAGGTCGTCAACCATTCTTGAGATAGCATGGATACATTTTCACATGTTCCTCCAGGTTTTAGATTCCACCCCACGGATGAAGAACTTGTCGATTACTACCTCAGAAAAAAGGTAGCTTCGAAAAGAATTGATCTAGATGTCATTAAAGATGTTGATCTTTACAAAATCGAGCCATGGGATCTTCAAGGTAGCATTCCTTTATCAACATTATTTTCATTAAATTTGATTAATCGATTGCTAGATAGTAGATACTAATATATATATTTTTTTTCATTAATTTGAGCAGAGCTTTGTAAGATAGGAACTGAGGAGCAAAGTGACTGGTATTTCTTCAGCCATAAAGATAAGAAGTATCCAACTGGGACTCGCACTAATAGAGCTACAAAAGCTGGATTCTGGAAAGCTACAGGCAGAGATAAGGCTATTTACTCTAGGCATAGTTTGGTTGGCATGAGAAAGACCTTGGTGTTTTATAAAGGCCGAGCCCCAAATGGACAAAAGTCAGATTGGATAATGCACGAGTATAGACTAGAAACAAATGAAAATGGAACTAGTCAGGCAAGTATATATCCAAATTATAATAGCATTTTCTCAACGTTAAATTGTGTTAAAATAATCTCAAAAGTAGTTATGTTTATACTTTGGCCAATTAAAAACTCTTTTCCTCAATTTTGTTTCCCTTATGCAAGTATCAATGGTGCTTTCTTATTACGAAGGGATGCATGTTTTGTTGACCATTCATGTAGAGGGATTTGTTGGTAACATAGAATCTAAAACGGATTTTCATTGTTCAATGTGTAATTAGTTAAGTTCTTGAAGTGTCAATATAGATAGAAGACCAAAGTAAGAAACTTGAGGAGTACCTTTTTACAACCCAGCTACAATCCACAAAGGATAACATTGGGGTTGGGGGGGGGGGCAAGAGAATAAAGAACAATTATTTGATATTATTGTGATTGGAAAGTTCCCACTAATTGGTAGATTTCACAAATGTTAAATATGGCCGAATAATGAATTTGGATCTACTCCAATACATATTTTTCGTGAATTTATCTTATAGAAGAACACATATTGTGTAATGACGCTGTCATTAAAGCACAATAAACAACAATTTTGCAGTAAATTTTGTAAGTCTTCATTTGAACAAATAAGCTTCTTTTGTTTCTTTTTTTTTTTTTTTATTTTTAACTGCTTATATATCTTGCTTGTCTTTTCACCTTACCTTACATTACAACATAAATTATTTGCCCAATTTTTAAAAAATATTTACTCAAAAAAGTACAATAAAATTGTTAGTAGCTGATGCTCCTCAACAACCCTAATGTTTCCTTGCTGATATCACTGTATCATGTAACAAGTTCACAAAGTCTAGGCTTATTTAATCTAGCTATTATCCTTTTGCTAAGTTTAATAACATAAAAATTAATGCATTGTCGCGTGCTTGTGTGGATTTATCATGAACTCCTGTTTGATTGAGTGCCAATGCTAAAGAGAATATCTCTGTAATTGCACCAGGAAGAAGGATGGGTTGTGTGTAGGGTGTTCAAGAAGAGAATGCCAACACTAAGGAAGGAAGGAGAGCATGAGTCCCTATATTGGTATGATGACCACGTTTCTTTCATGCCAGACTTCGATTCCCCGAGGCGAATACATCAGTCTTATACTTCATACCATCATCAATATTCCTGCAAGCAAGAGCTTGAGTTGCAGTACACCATGCCTCATGAGTCATTTCACCAGCTTCCTCAGTTAGAGAGTCCAAAAGTCGCGGAGTCCATGGCCCAAGTAAACTGCAACTCAATGGCCCCATATAATTTTGAGAGGCATAACTTGCTGTCTTCAACACTTGCACAAGAACATTTGCAGCAAAGCAATCAGCTAGATATCAACTTGCTTTACAGTAACAACAATGAACATGCTCTGGATCAAGTGACCGATTGGCGAGTGCTCGACAAATTTGTTGCATCTCAGCTCAGCCAGGAAGATGCTACCAAGGAGTCTACATCCTTTCAAGTAGCCGAAAACATGAACATGCTAATAAATGGTTCAAAGAGGCAAGAAATGGCTTCAGAATATGCTGCAATATCCAGCTCCAGCTGCCACATTGATCTGTGGAAGTGAGAGCATATTATAGTAAGGATGCAATATATTCTAATGATAGCAAAATACAGACTAAAAGGAAAGAAAGTCTTGGAGGTTGGCGAATTGCTGTACATAATAAAACAAAATGGTAATGCTTTAGCTGTTGGATTTATGCTACACCTTGTGATGATATATATACCAGGCAACTAGTTTTGCCAGAAAGGTCTATTGGTAACTAAATATATGTAATGGAAGTGAATTGTTATGCCCACAGTTGGTGGTACTGACTCAGGGAGTGTTGTATGTATTTTCCTTTATGCAGTTTAATATGCATTTGAAGGTGTTTATTAGTTAGACTACTATATTTTATATTTTCTCTACCATAGCAATTTTTTATTTATGTAGAAATTTTTGATAGAGGAATAAGATTTATGTATGTGACCTCAATTATTTAAGATAAAACCTTCCTGGAGTTGAGTTGAAATGACAACTTGACATCTTTTCAAATTAAAGTTTTATGCTGCCAAGTGGAGAAAATGTTGTATAAGTTCGCATCACTTGACAATATCAGGTGGTATGTATAACCAATAAAAAGTGTCATAATAGACACGAGTTAATTTTTCTGAAAAATATTGTATGATAATTTTTCTGAAAAATGTACAAGTTTTGACTAATTATGTATACCACATAATACTAACAAGTGGTACGTTAAATACTTACAAAAATTTTGGCCACATAACTGTTCTCTGATATTTTTGCCACCTCTGTAATAGCACCCGTATGTTATGCAGGGGAATGTAGTTGCAATATTATGAGCGATTTACTCTTTTTCTTTTTCTCTTGCTTTTAGTCTAGGGTTTTTAAGAAAGAGATGAAAGGAACATAACCATTGGACTTATTTACCGTTGCAATTGTTAAACACCTTCAAAGCTATACCTTGTTATGATGAAAAAGCAAATCAAACAAGACTTCCACATCTACTTCTTTTGGCGAACAGATGAAACAACTAATAGTGCCGACCCAAAAAATATTGAAACAAAGCTTTGTTGAGTCGAGTATGAAACAATTAATATTGGAAGTCAACCCCATTTCAATCTTTACAGTCATAATCATGTACTTTTAAATTGAATCAGCACAAAGTGTTTATTGTTGAAAATTAGTATGTTCGCCAGAGAAGAAGATGCATTCAAATTCTCGTGCTTGCATGGAAGCCTAGCAGTTCAGTGCACATTGCACAATTGCCTACCATTTTTATTTTTTCTCCTTACCAGAGAATTCTTTCCTTTATGTGCCAAAATACATTGCATGAACTAGTCCTTCCTCCTTTGTAGTGTTGAATATACTTTGGTGCATGAAGCTAAGTGTGCTATAAATCTAATCTCTGCAGAAAAAAATTCTCTAATTTCCACTCACATACGTGTGTACCGCAACATACAAGCAAATTAATCTAAAGAGTAAGCAAAATGGCACCTCTTTGTGCATTTCTACACACCATTGCGGGGATGGCATTTAGAGGAAATTCAAAGATGATGTAAACTAATGAAAATATGGACTTTTTTCCAAGGTTGAGGAGGTTTTCTAATTCGCCTAATGCTTGAGCCGGTCCGAATTCTCATCCGAGCTACGGCTATGGGAAGGAATTACTTACCTTGAGTTTGAACTCAACTACTGTATACGAAAAATGGAGTGAGAAGCTTCTGTAACCTGTACAGAGTCTATAGACGCGGCTACCTGTCTGTTGCAGATCATCAATAGGAATGAAAGATGTGCAGCAAAGCCAGAGGCCCATACTGTTGAGAAGTACTACAAAAGAGCCAAAGTGCTTTCAAGTCTCAACAGCTCTTCACAGGACTTTCAACATCGGAGAGAAAAGACGACGTATATGAAAGGACTGAGAGATATAACATGGCAAATGCTTTCATTCTTGCTGTAAATTAGAAGGGTCGAAGTATGATGTATGAGTTGGAAAATGTGGAAGTACACTTAAAATATCACCAGTAGGGTTTTATACTCCACAGAAAAGATCAAAAGTCTTGTCCATAATTATTGAATAGAAATAAGGTTCTAAGGAACATGAATTACGTCCTTCTTAGGTTGTTTTTGACCTGAAGGCTGCTTTTACTTTGGCTGAGGTCAAGGATGAAAGTCCCTTTCAAGCAATGCTAGTCTTACAGGCGACACAATAATTGGGCGTGCTCTCATGGACTCATAATTCACAATCTCTTACTCTTCTCATAGAAAGCAGGGGGAGATTGGGGAAGGCATGCTTAGTGGGAAGAATCTGACATAGGGTATGGATTGGGATGAGTCCAACTCAAAAATGCAACCTTTCAAATGTGCATTTTCAGAAAAATTAGAGTCCACACTGTCGAGAGACCGAGAGTTTCGTACATAAGTTCCCTATTACTAAGACGTCTTAAAAAGTTTATGTTATTCAATGAGTCGGATTCATTCAGTGTTCTTAACAACATTTTAAAATCTCGAAAATGGTGTGCCTGTTTCTAACTAAATTTCATGTGAAGACTTGCTCACGGGCATTTATAATTTGATTGATTCACAGCTTTCCTCAGCTATTTCTACCTTCAGTTTGTCATAAAAGGAAACCCTTTTTTCCATTTTTCAGGCAGGAGAGAGAGAGAGAGTGTAATCACGGTAATGGAGTCAGAATGCAACTGGAAAGTCGAGAACAAGCAGGTCATGCGCATTGATGCAGTGTGTGGATGAGCGTGCGACTGTATAATTAGGGTTTATTAAATATGTTGTTTGCAGGATAAGTAAGATCACATGACATCATTGTCCAGTTGTTACAACTCCATGTGATGATGCATCATTTGTCTGTTTCTTTACCACCCAGATCCCAGACCTCCACAGTCTCCGGAGCCCTCACTTGTCTGTACTTAATTAATACTCACTGTTTCGAACTTCAGATACAAAAAATACACACACATGTATGTATATATGCCTGGTGTCTTGTGTGTTTGTTTACTTTAATACAACATGTGTGTGGAAAGATAGACAATAGGTAACCATTTTTTTACTTTTCGATAAAGAAAAAAGATACTTCAAAAAGATGATAAATATTACCCTAAAAAATAATAAGTTTCAATGTAAAAATATTATAAGTAAACCCACAAGGTGGTAAGTGAATTTAAAAATTAATAAACTCTACACAAAAAGTAATATAAACACGCAAACAAGTGAAAATTAAGTGGTACAGTACTATTTTTTGTTTTTGTTTTTTAGTGTTGTAGTCAAACCCCGGCCCATAGAATATAATATGAAATAAATTCTCTTTTGCTTTACATGTTTTCGAGATCAATGACAGTATAGATCTACTGTATGCGATAAATATACAATGCTTTGACTATACATCTAACATATATTTGCGTCACATTGGATGGAATTGTATTGAACTTAACAAATGGATTGTTTTGTGGAAGTGAAATTGAAGGAATGACTGAGCCAGCTGAAAAACAAAAGGGTAAAGAGTGAGCAGAAGTAGAAAATATACATAGAACCATTTACCAAAAAATAAAAGAAAAAAAACTATTAATGTTTACTCCCCCCCTCCCCTCGAAAAAAACCATTGTCCTAGATTGTCTAAGCAGATAACCGGTTCAAAGTTTTTTTTTTCCAATAAATTATTTCTTCATTTTGTCTAGAGAGATCATATTGAAGGTGGCAATCGAAGTTTCGGGACCATATCATTCAGTACATGAGGAGAATGGAAAGTGAATTTTTCTTTTTCTTAAAAATATATTATTAATAAAATATTACTCATTCAAAACCGATGATTGTCAACAATCGATTTGTCAGAATATTTTTAAAAAAGCCAACTTGTATGTCTTCCAAGCTAATGTTGCAATGGCTTTCATTGAGTATCCACTAAAATTTTTTGCTAGTTTTATACAGTTTATACTAAGGCATATCATGGACTTTACGAAGTTGTAGTTATAAACCTATGATTGATGCATCTGTAGATACCCTCCCTTCTACTCTTTGATCCACATAAAATAGAAAAAAAAAAAAAAGTATACAAACACCCTATGAGGTTTACATAAAATACATTTGCCTATTGTGTGTTTAAAAATTACAGTGAATCATATATCAGAATTTGTTATCAGACAGATCAAAAAAAGTAGGTAAATACGAAATAAACGTATTTACTATTATTGAAATTAGTAAAGTCAGGTACTTTTTTATTGATATTAACCACGGTCAAGTATAACGTAGGTAAACTTGAAGTGATAGTGTAATTTACTTGTAAAAAAAGAAGGAAAAATGTAACATCTGCTTGATGCAAGTTGATAGATACCATACCATCTTCTCCTCCATACCCACATGACAATACAAAAAATATGTTTTTTTTTTGCTTCAGCATTGTTTGGGAAGTAAAAATTTTGCCCGACGCAAAAAGATTATTAGCGTTGGGACTAACCAGTGCAAAATATCCAAAACATATATATGGATCTCAATTGCAGTAAGTATTTGACAACAAATAGAATTTTCTTCCTACTGAAACAGATGAGAGCTGCATTTTTTGCCAGATGAAACCACAAATAATGTCCAAGGAAAGGGACTTGACAGGCCAAGAGGGAACATTCAGCTCTTTAGGGGTGGACACAAAAAGGGGTAGCAATTTCCTTTTTTGGGCGATTGCTGTTCCGACCATTTGATTGAGTTATGCAAGCTGGTCCACTTGAAAAAAAAAGAACAAGTAAAAACTAAGCAACTTGATTGATTTCCTTCATAAGTATGGGAGACTTGACTTATCAGTTGAGAAAGGTCCTCCACCAATCTTTATACAAATTGAGTTAAAACTTTATTCCTCGACACAAATAAATGGAGGCTTAATCATGACTTGCCCACATTGATGTCCGACATGCCATTTCGTTGAGCTTTACTTTATTTACTTGTCTCAGCCTGTTACTCAGATCTGGGTACCATCTCTATAGTGGCAGCCAAGTTAAAAAAATATTATTATTTTTATTTTATCACAAATTAAAATTATAAAAACAATTATATCTTCACATATCAATTGTATCCTTCATTAACATCTTCTGTCTATGAGATCATATTCTAATATATTCTTTCCATATCCTCGGCCAACACAAATTCAGTCCCTCCTAACTATCTAATATTAAAGTTAATTTATCTAATATTACATCTAAAAAATTGAATTTTGAACTTATAAAAGGACGACAACGATCAAAATTGATTCAATTTTCATTTACTTTAATTCAATGGCATAAAATTCATTGCATTTTTTTTTGTTCAAAAATATCATTTTTTCTATACGGCCTCTAATGTCAAACAATTCTACTAATTAATTCACACCTATATTTCTTTTCTCTATCCCCTATCTCTTTATTATTTTCTCTCTATTCATTTTAATTTTAAATTACGTAATTAAAGAAAAAAAATTATTATTTAAAATATTAATTTTGTATGATTAATGTTCAATTTTTGGTGTTAGAAAATGTCTTCACGCACAGAGTTATTTCTAATTGTATATAAATGATAAGAGAATTATCAACATTAACTCATCTAACACCTAAATTTTACCCAATTATATTGCATTTAAATCATTAAGTGACTTAGGTGGATGATGATTTCATCTTACTTACAAAAAAAAAAAAAAAAGACTTAGGTGGATGATAATCAAGTCTTGTTTCCGTCACATAAATATTTTGTTTGAACCCATAGGGTGGCCCAACAATGAAAAATATGGTTCTAACTAATTATTAAAATATATCTACTTTAAAAAAATTGAGGGGAAACTCAATTAATTGAAATTTAATTCGAAGGTCAAATATAATTATACTACCGACTGAAATATATAAAAAAATTAAAATTTTTTTTTTACAACTAAATAACTCTTAGAAAATGAAAGTAAATATAAAGGAAATTGTGTTGGCTAAATTTTATAAGAAAAAATGTGACATAGTTGAAAATTGTAGAAAAAAGCCTCATATTCAAGAGAGAAATTTTAATGGTACAACTAAGGTTATAAAAACTTTTTGGGCAATGAGCTACTCCTATTCACTTTATTGTTGTGTCCACAAAAGACAATCGACGAGTACAATTCTTTAAAACAGTGGTGTTAAGTGACTGTTTGATATTGAGTCGAATTATCTTATTTCACATAGCCTGTTGTTGGTGCTTCAAGATTTTTGGAAAATCAAATCTTCAGGAATAAGAGTTTTAAAAAATTCTTAGTGTTTTAAGGGATTTAGTCTGCCCCTTTATTGGGTAAGGTTTATGTCTCTCCATTGATTGTAAGTTTTAGCTTTTATTAATAAAGTTCTCTTGAATTTTATTTTTTTTAAACTGCCTTGTTTCAAGACTTCTTTAGATGAGATTAATCAACTAATTCAAAGTAAGTGAAAAATAATAAATTAGTGATAAGAAAAGAATTGACACTTTTATTAATTTGTAATAAATTTCTGGCTACAAAAGATTAATAAATTAGCCTTAATTACGACACTATTTTCTAACCTAAACATTACAATTCAGAATGTCAAAGTTTTGATGAATTTGATCGTGTCAATTCTTTGTGATTAATACTTCTTTTATAAATACAATTACTTTAGTTTCTCGATAGTTTCTTTCTGTTTCATTTCTTATTTTAACTGTTATCTTCTTCACTTCAAGGCTCCAGTGAGTCTTGATAGGTTGTTTTTTTTTTTCAATTTCAGAGTAATTGCTCATTCCCATAACATAGGGGCTTTCAAATGACTATTTCTATTTAAATTTAAAAAGTCACGTCGACTCATTTTGTCTTTCCCCTCGTTTATTAGATGAATGTCATGTGATAGCTAATTCATTTCATGGATAGATGTTATTCATTGTTTATTTACCAAAATTTATAAAATATGGTCCTAACAATTTTATAATTATTTTGTGAATTTTCAAAAAATTAATCAAGCAAAAATTTAACCCAAATAAAAAACAGCTCCGAATTCAATCAAAAATACTAGGTGATGGTAAACAATCCTTAAATTTTCATTTGAGACCAAAATTGTTCCACTTACTTGGGGGTGGTTAACCGTATTATTTTGAGCAATAGTAGTCCCACTGCAACTATACTCTTAACCCATGCGGGTATTCTTATTCTCGTTGTAGTTGGTATCAACTTGCATTAAAAGTCAAAACCCTAACCCTACTACTTATATGGGATTGTTTATGCCTTTTCTTTCCGCTTTTAGGGATTGTTTACGCTCAAATTATCATAAACATATACTCTATGTTCGAATGCATATTTAGATATTTACTCCTAATTTGGTGACACTCCTTTTAGCTGAGTAGTTCTTTTTCTTCTCGGTAATCGTGAAACCTCCCGATTCTGAGGGTTGGAGCTCACTACTCTCAGCGCCACGTCTGATCAACAAGAAGGAAAGAAACCCTTCTTCTAAAGACGGGTTAGATTCTCTCCATTGTCGGTATTTTTTCTCCTCTTTGATTATTTGTTTCGGGAAAGGTTTTGGTATTATTGTACCAAAAATTATAATTTTTTAAAAATAAGATATAATTTTTTGAAAATATAAATTATAACTTTAAAAGACACGAGGATGAATTATGAAAGGCTAGTTTCCCATTTGTTTCTGGTTTTGTGTCACCGTCAATCTTTGAAGTCTAGTTCTGATGTTAAGTTCCACATATGTATTGGTATAGAAGTATAGAACCCACATGGATTGGTTCTGTTATAGACACAAAAAGTCTTAGAACTTGTGAGGGTTAGAGTTGATAATTATTTGAGTTGATAACTATTTAAACGCAATATTTCATCACATTCAAAATGTCAACAACAGATCACTCTACTGACAATGGTCCAACAGTAATCCTTTCGTTTTGGTAATTCTATTCACCTATCAATATTCAATGCGATAACATTATACTCATACATAATATTACTAATATATAATTTGCCCTTTCTGTGACTCGAACTCATGACATATTTTCTACTCTCATATCAATTGTTATGAACTCAACTGTTGATTAAAAAGCTAGCCTCCGGACTTATAGAGAATTAGAACTCATAACTATTTGATTATAACAAGTTCATTGGTTGAACAAAGGATAATATATAAACCACCATAAATCTGTATGTGTTAAGTTAAAATCCGCAACAAAAAAATCAGATTTAACCAATGTTTATAGTGGGTGATTGTGTGTATCCCGAGTATTTCGTTGTAGTTTTAAGTACAAAAGACAAATGGGTGGGATGATTTGTCAATACAAAAAAAAAAGAGAATTATACCAAGATCTTTTGGGTTTGTCACTTAATTACTCAGACCCTTAACATTTAAAATATTACACATAGATCCTTTAAAATTTTTATGTGTAAACTTAGACTACTGACATTAATGTATGTTAGTATATCTATTAGTAAATTATGCTTAGACCCCCTAAAGTTTGTAAACGTGTAATATTTAAACCCTTCAAATTTAAAATATTATACTTAGACAAAAAATACTCCAACCAAAGACAGAATATCAAATATTTTAAATTTTACAACCAAAATTCATATTCTATTATAAAATTTATTGAAATACAATTTAAAATAAAAATCTAATTAAATTAAACTACTAAATTATTCCAATTAAAGCTATGATATTTAGTCAATTATAGTTTGACCTCTTATTTGATTTTTTAGCTTTATTTCAATAGATAGTATAATTGCATACTAACTATGATTTTTAAGAAAAAATTAGATTTTTATTTTCAATTTTATTTCAATAAATGACATAATAGAACATGCATTTGATTGTAAAATTCATGTTATATTATGAATGACTTAGACTCTTTGTTTAATTTTTTAGTTTTATTTCAATCGACAGTATAATTGTATACTAATAACGATTTTTTTTTTAAAAAAAAAATTAAAATTTTATTTTTGATTTTATTTCAATAAATGATATAATAAAACATGAATTTTGGTTGTAAAATTTATAATATTTGATATTTTACTTTTAATTGGAATATTTTTAGTTTAAATATAATATTTTAAACTTGAGCGATCTAAGTATTATATGTTGGCAAACTTCAGAGTGTCTGGATATAATTTTCTAACGGATATACTGACATTGATGACAGAAGTCTAAAGTGTTACGCGTGTACAAACTTTAGAGGGTCTATGTATAATATTTCAAATATCAGAGGTCTGAGTGATTAAGTGATAAACTTTAAGGGCTTATGTGTAATATTTCAAATCTCAGATATCTGAGTGGTTAAATGACAAATTTCAAGAAATCTGAACGTAATTCTTTCTAAAAAAAAATATATATATATATATATGGTCATTGTCTAATGGGGTATGTTACGTTGAATATGCAAGCCTGACTTTTGCATTGCATTTCATCGAGGAAACAAGAAAGAAAAAGAGAAAGGACAACTATTTTTGTTAGAATTACTAGATACCAATGCGTGTATGTATATATTTTTCCTGTAATATAAAAATCTTTAAGCCAATCTCAAAGCCGTTGTGAGATGTGTAATTTGCCCACCAAGTATTTGAACTTTTGACCTGTATAACAATTTATTTCAGCCTCAACATGGCAACGTCATAGGCTTGCACAACTGTATGAGATCGTCATTAGCAAGCAGCTGTTGTATAATGCTATTTTCAAAAAAATCTGGATGGATGGGCTTGCTCTAGGTTCATTAGTTCATGTTATGTCTTTGGCTTGGCAATACTACAGAGGATGGATGGGAATTTTAGGCAAATAGAATTCTTTTGCAGAGTCCTATGGCACTCGAAAATTTTACGTTATAAGCACGTAATTGTTCTTTTGTTTTGAAGGCATAGGACGTAAATTAACAAGGGTTTGTGTTCAATTTTTTGTTTGATTGGAGTTTCACATTGTGTTACTGGTAGTGTATTCTTCCCCCTCCCCTTTTTAGAGTAAGTAAATGCTAATTTGAGTAATTCCTTTTTGGTTTCAGGAATTGACTGGTGAAGGTTGAGAATAGGTGGGTGCTGTGTGGCATCAATACCCAAGAATGGTCTCATCTATTTCTATTTGTACTGGTTCTGAAGGAGAGAAACTAAAGAGGCTGTCAGAAAATAGTAAATTTGCTCCATCTGATGTTTCATTCAAGTTAAAGCGGCCAAAGGTGTCGGGAATCCGCGACTTCCCTGAGGCATTTGTGCAATATGATATGCATGTCGACTTGTTACCAATGGAAGATATGGTTTCTGCTAGTACAGATAAGAAATTGTTGGGCAGAAATGTCAGTGCTGGTGATTCAGATGATGATGACTCTGTCGAACCTTTTGAAATTGATGTTGGGTTTGAAGAAATTCTAGCCGATAATGAAACACATATCTTATCCTGTAGTTCAGAATCTGAGAAGGTGGAATCAATGGTCTCTTTTGATTGTATGATGTTCCAAACATCTTTGGGTGATGCAGAATCCATTGAGCAATTAAAAACTTCAGAGCTTGAAGGTGCTGATTTTACTGACTCAATCTTGAGTGCTTGTAGGCTGAAAGTGGAAAATAAGCTGGAAGATCAAAATCCTTCTCAACAGGTGGATAGACCAAGTAGTTTGAAAATGTGGAACAATGATGTGCCTAAACCTTATTTTCCACGAAGGAAGGTGGCAGCAGTTCGTGATTTTCCAGATGCATTTGAGCAAGTCCCTTCAACAATTACTGGGGTACTGAACAACGCTGTGGTTTCTGTTGGTACGGTTGGGAATTCGTTAGACAAGACAAACATTGCTGGTGCTGCGGACGATGAGATTGAACCTTTTGAAACTGATGTTGGCTCCCCTAAAGCCATGGATAAATGCTAAATCCATTAACCAATTTGAAACTTCAGAGCATGACAGTACTGATTGTATTGATGCAACGAGGTGCACAGGTATGTTCAAGCTTCAAAATGTGTCGGAAGAGAAAGTTCACTCTCAGCCTGTGGATAGAGCGAGTAGTTTCAAAATGGGGAGTCGTAGTTCACAAAAAATTCGATGAATTAGTGATTCAGCTGTTGGATGCTTCCCTCGTGCATGTGGAGGAAATAGTAATCATCTTAGTAGAATAAATTGTGTGAAAGCTTAGCTAAATCATCTTACTGTTATTTACTGGTTAATCTAATGTAAGAGCTGAAATTTTACCTGTAAAATTTGCTATATTGCATTATTCAGCTTCTATTACCTGAAATATTTGAGTAATATAGCTCAACAGTGTTACAAATCACATTAATGCATTGCCCCATCCAGTTGAACGAGCCCATTACTTTCCCATATCTTGATCAATGTAATTACTGCAGCTGCCAATGCTGTAGAAACCAGTGCTTTCGACTTCTTGTGTTCTGCATTTCAAGTGTACTTAATGCTGGGATTGTGCTCTTGTTTTGGAGAATAATTGAAACTGACAGAAGTATCTACGCTGCAACCTTTGAAATTCACCTTATGGTTTTCATTTTCTGTTTCTAGCCAACAGTTTAGGGGCAAGGGCCTTGAAGGATATTGAGAGGATCGAGAGTTTTACAATGAGAAGTCGAAGATGAAGAAGCGATGTTAATGGTTTTTAAGGGCAATAGAGAGATTGGTCATTGAAGTGTGGGTCAGTGTATAAGGTTCTGTTAATGGATACTGAGGACAGAGACAGAATAAGGTGGAGGGAGAGAGTGGGAGGTAGAAGAAAAAAAGGAGAGGGAGAGGCTGAGTCTCACATGCAACTGTTTCTCTCTTCCTTCTAACATGTTGTAGAAGCAGTTGATTGGTTTGGGCCAGCCCACCCGTCAATGGCCCGTGCATCCTACACCAGGCCAGTGGATCACTGATCTGTCAATGGTTCAGGCTAGGCCAGACTGCTGATTAGGTCTTTTTGATGGGACTATTTTTTTATTTTCTTTATTCTTTTCTGTGAATTTTGAGAGGTCAATTGATTGCAAACAGGCCTCCGCCTTGTTAGGCCTGCTTACTGGATATTAATAGGGCCTACAAGCAAAGAGGCCACAACCCAATTGCATGCATACTTCTTACTGCTAAGGACTTTCTACTTCGTGTTCTTCATCTGTTCCAAAGATCTTGTTATCGGCGTGATTATTATATATTGAATACTACTGTCGGACCTAGGGGTGTTCAACCGACATATAGGGTCGGAAGTCAAGACTTCCGTTGGTCAAACTGACAGAGGTCGAAAGTAGTTTCTATTAACCGAACCGTCCCAATCAAAGTATACAATCCAACCGACAATCGACCCCTTTAAGTCAGTCGATTTCAGTTAATACTCTCAACCAGATTTCAACAACTTTTTTTTGGCTGGTAAGATTTCAAAACTTCGTTTCAATGTTGAACTTCCCTATTTACGTACAATCTTACAAGCCAAAAACCTTAAAAAAAATCAGAGGCATCTTTCCTGAGTTTGAGATCCTTTGGAAGATCAGAGACATTTTTTTCGAACCAGTCAAACTTGAGTTTGAGATTCTTAGGCTTGCTTTGAAGATCCAAAAATCCACTCGACGATATCTTGCCTAATTGTGAACTTGAAGATCAATTAGGATTGAGATCCATAGGCTTGCTTTGTAGATCCAAAAATTCACTCAAATATATCTTGCCTGATCGTGTACTCGAAGAACGGTTAGGGCTAAAGAAATGAAGAGCAGAGAAAGAAGAAGAAGAAAAGGGGCAGCGTTTGGGACAGAGAGAAGAGGCTAAAGAGTGACGAGAGGTGGCGCACTCTTGTTTTGAAGAAGAAGACAAAGTAGGGTTTGAGAATTGAGGGGTTTTATTTTTTTGTTTTTTTATTTTTTTAAAGGAAAAAATTAATTTTTATATTATTAATATACTATTCGGATGATTTGGATATTTCGGGTTATAACTTAAATTTACCTGTTATCCGAACTAATTTAATCGGGTAATGGTTTATAACTTCTGCGGCCGAATTGGAAAGAGTTTTAGCCATCTACTTTCATTCGAAAGGGTCAGTTATGCATCGGGTGGTCGGGTTGACGGGTTTTTTGCACAGCCCTAGTCAGACCCGTGCCATGCATGAGGATTACAAACTTCATCCCGCTTTTTCTTTTCATCCACTATTTGGGTAATTAAAGAATTATGAAAAAAATATAAATTACTTGGAAATTCAAAGAATTATGGGAACTTTTTGAAGATTACAACTAAGAAAGTGGAAGAGAAATTATAACTTATATGAGTCAAATGTTATGTTTTGATTGGATAAATAAAATTAAATAAATAAAAATTCTAAAAAATTAGGAAATGAGTAGGAAAGACTTTTCAAGTCCCTCTCCCCTTTATTTGACTGGTAAAGTAATACAGATAGAAGTAATTAATGTTACAAATGACATCACACCAATTAAAGAAGTCCAAGTCAACTGTTATGTTATTTGAGCTCTAAATTTGATTCTAAAATTTAGTCAGTATAACATTACTGATTTATTTAATGTATTGACTTACTCAATTACTGCCATTGATTTGACAGTGGGTCATAGTACTTATTGAAGAGTAATTTTATTTGGACTTAAAAATTTGACCTAATTTATTGATATAATAATGTGATTTTATTGGAACCATTAGATTAACATCAAGTTCCAATGTTCGTAATTGTTATTTATTGAAACTACTTATTCAATGATTATAGTTGATTAAGTCAATATTTTAAATTCAAATAACATTTTCCTACAAGTAGATAACCCATTGTTTTTGTCCTCGCCATGATCAAGCATAACAAATTAATTTAAGATAGTGTTGATTGCCAACACAATTCTATCACCACGTGTAAAACAGACAACCCAATCCGCTTTTTCTACCACGAGGCATCAAGAGGTAGTTGGACTAGTAGAGTCCTTCACCATGTTGGAATTGCTCCAATGTTAGTCTTATTATAATAGAGTACCTGGCACCAATTTATTAGAATTACTCTAATTATTTTGATACATTTTTATTTGGAATTAAGAGAGCTAAAAATACAATTGAATTAATGGAAGAGATCGAACACTCAAACTAAAAATGATTTTCAAGAAGTTTAGAATCACACTAATATTCAATTTAAACTTTTCACTCAACTATATATGTTTGGGCAAAGTTATGCCTTTGTCTTACTGTATTTGAAACAACAAGACTCTCCGATGTGGCAAGATTGGGGATTGACTGATTAAAGTTAAGGCCAATCTGTACTATCCTCTAACCCATCCCCTTTCTAGGGAGTACGTCCATATTCATGTCGCTATGTGGTTCAAAAAGAACAAAATATGTCTCTTGTGTCCATTCCATGCAACACAAAGCAAGGACACCATGTGCGGGGTTATCTCAGAGCTAAAGTTCCGGCTCCTCTCCCCCTCTCTCTTCTCTCTCTTAAACTCACTTTGACTGGCCAAAAAATATCAGACATCTCGCGAATTCAATGACACCTTCATCTGGTGCTTCCCAGGCGCCCCATCTCTCTCTCACACACACACACAAACACAACACAAACAAAATGAGAGATCAGCTAGAGAGACATTCATATCCCCTCAAACAGCCAGAGTTACATGGATAGCTTTGCTTTCCCACTAACTAAGATGCAACCATATGAATGCATGCTGTCACAATGAATGATATGTATTACGAGAAATTATGGGTCATGTGCGAGGCAAAGTTAGATGAATGCATTCTCTCGCTCACTCTCTCCTAGAAGTGTGAATAGATAGAATTTTGTTAAGTTTGAATTTCAGAGGTAAAAAAGGGTTCAAATCGTTTTGAGACAAAATAAAGAAAATACATTTAACGGACAACATAATTTTAACATAAAAAACGGTTCAGATCATCTCATAAATACTGATTCAACGGTTTACAGTGAGTAATGAATTTAGTTTTCTCGCCCAACAACATTTTCTTTTTTAATTATCAGGGCTTTTTTAATTAATTTCTAAATTTCTTAACCGCCCATCACTTTTTCAAATTTCAGTAGAACTCTCCTAACCAAAACTCTCATCCCCCAGCCGTAGGACTCTCCTAATGATAGACTCTCCTAACCAAATAGAAAATGTTGGATGCTGACTTTTGAATTTAGCAGACCTTTTCCTTCTCTATGTTGGCCCGTTATGGAGTCTAGTTTGTATGTTGATCCAAATGATGACTCAACCCAAAGTAATGTTGCATGATTTTTAAATGAAAAATTTTCTAAGACTTGGTCCATGAAGCGAAACTTTTTTTGGCATGTTTTGTTGCTCGGTGCATAGGACATATAAAAGGCTGCTACTTTGGTGATTAGGGTTTGATCGATGTGTATAGCCACTCTCTGTAATCTTCTCTCTCAATAGTGAAAACCCTGCAGTTTCGTGGACGTAGACAAATTATTGAACCACGTAAAATCTTTGTGTCTTGTTATTTCTTATTTTTTATTGCTTTATATTATTGGTTTGTTCTTCGATTGTGTGCGTTTGTCTATGGGTTTAAAGTTTATTAAATCTCAATATCTGACATTAGAGCTCTGGGTTAAAAGGTCATGGGTTTACACAATGGCTGAAGACAAAGTTAAGATCGAAAAATTCAATGGCACGAACTACGCGTTCTGAAAGATGCTGATGGAGGATATTCTATATCAAAAAGATATGTATCAACCTATCGATGGGATGAAGCCAACGGATATGGAGCAAGCAAAGTGGGATGTTCTAGATCACAAAGCCCTAGGGACTGTGCGACTGTGCCTCGCGCCGTCAATTGAGTCGAATATCGCCAAATAAAAGACTACATCAGATTTGTTCAAAGTCGTAGAAAAGATATACGAAAAGCCTTCAGCGGTGAATAAGGTATATCTTATAAAAAAGTTGTTTAACTTAAAGATGTTTGAAAACACTATTGTTGCTGAACATTTCAATGAATTTAATACGGTCACGAATCAGTTAGAATCCATAAATATTGTTTTTGATGATGAAATTAGGGCTCTTGTCCTTTCATCAAGTTTGCCGAAAAGTTAGAATGGACTTGTTGTGGCAATAAGTAATTCTTCCGGGTCTACAAAGATAAAATTGAAGGATGTTGTGGCGTTGATAATAGGAGAGGAGGCTCGGAGAAAAGCTTCGAGTGAGGATGTTATTTCAAGTTCAGCATTCAATACGGAAGAGAAAGGCATGACTATGAATAAGGGAGGCAACAAAAAGTGCAAGGAAAAGTCGTATTCAAGAAACAGAGGCCGAAGTAAATCTCGTGACGGAGATGAGGGATGTTGGAACTGTGGTCAGAAGCGACACTATAAGCAGGACTGCAAGGCATCAGGAAAGGAGCAAAATGAGAATAATCAAAGAGGTAAAAATACTAATAATATTACTGACGATTCTGATAATGATGCTTTGATTTGTTCGCTAAATTCTCACAATAAATCTTGGATTGTAGATTCTGAAGCATCATTCCATGCTACTCCACGCATAGATGTACTACAAAACTATGTGCAAGAAAATTTTGGTAAAGTGTATTTGGGCGATGATGAAGCTTGCAACATTGTTAGAAAATGGGATGTACAGAATACTCAGACATATGGGACGGTTATGAAATTGAAGGATGTTAGACATGTGTCTAATTTAACAAGAAATCTTATTTCAATGGGTCAGTTGTCAGAGGGTGAAGTGGCCACATCGTTTACATCAGATGCTTAGAAGATGGGTAAGGGGGTTTTGATACTTGCTCGTGGTAAAAAGGAAGGAACTCTATATGTATCTTCAGGTAGTTACAGTAGCATCACGGTGACAGTATCAAGGATTGATTGCACTATATGGCATCGTAGGCTGGGTCACATGAGTGAAAAGGGGATGAAAGTAATGATGTCGAAGAAAAAATTACCGGGTTGTAAGTCGCTGAATTTACACTTCTGTGAGGATTGTGTTCTCGAAAAATAAAAGAAGGTCAGCTTCACAAAGGTGGCAAGAACTCTGAAAATAGAGAAGCTAGAGCTTGTTAATACCGATGTGTGGGGTCCATCAAAAGTATCTTCTCTTGGTGGTTCATCTTATTTTGTTACTTTCATTGATGACGCTACTTGAAAACTATGGGTTTGTTTCCTTAAGCATAAATTTGATGTGTTTGATGTTTTCAAGAATTGGAAAGCAATATTTGAGAATGAAACAGAGATGAAATTGAAGTGCCTAAAATCAGATAATGGTGGTGAGTATTGTAGCAATGAGTTTGAGGCTTCCTGTGCTGCGAATGAGATTCGAAGGGTAAAAACGATCCCAAAGAAGCCAAGGCAGAATAGAGTTGTTGAACGCATGAACAGGACGATCCTAGAGAGTGCAAGGAGTATGAGGTTACATGCTGGATTACCTAAGCAATTCTGGGCTGATGCAGTAAACACTGCTGTGTATTTGATCAATAGGAGGCCTTCAATTCCGTTGAATTGTGGATTGCCAGAAGAGGCTTGGACAAGCAAGGAGGTAAATTTATCTCATTTACGAGTTTTTGGTTGGATTGCCTATTTGCATATAGAATTGGAGGATAGAGACAAATTTGTTGCTAAGTCTCGTAAGTGCGTGTTTATAGACTATGATACTAATAACTATGGGTATAGGCTGTATGATTTTTGAGAATCAAAAAACAAGCAAGAGTATTGATATGGTATTTAATGAGTCAATTTTGTATAGAAACGGACTAAGTCAACCCAAGGAGGCTGAGGTAAAATCAAACTTTGTACTAATACACAATCCAAGGAGAATGAGGCTGGGGTGAAAAATTTTTAGGTCTGTTTTGTAGCCCGGTGTATAGGACATATAAAAGACCGCTATTTTGGTGATTAGGGTTTGATCGATGTGTATAACCGCTCTCTGTTATCCTCTCTCTAAATAGAGAAAATCCTGCAGCTTCGTGGACATAGGCAAATTGACGAACCACGTAAAATTTTTGTGTCTTGTTCTTTCTTGTTTCTTATTACTTTAGGTTTTTAGTTTGTTCTTCGATTGTATGTGTTTGTCTGTGAGTTTAAAGCGTATTAAATCTCAACTCTCTCTTTCTCTCTTGAAATATACGTACGTATAGGTATATGAGATTGGAAGTATCAGATATGAAGAGGTAATTGATTCAACTGTTCATTCTTTTCTGCTATTTATGATTATTTTGCTCTGACGTTTAAATTTTTTTGAAATTTTGCATGATCTCTCTCTCTCTCCCTCTCTCTTTACTATTACAGGAATTCATATTAAATTCTCAAGGAATGAAGCTTTTCACTTGCAAATAGCTACTACAAACTGTGAGCCAAACGCTTTGATCTTTCTATGCCATGGATACGCCATGGAGTGTAGCATCTCCATGAAAGGTCAGTAAATTATCTGCAAAAAACCTTAATTTGATTCCATTGGTATAAACAACACAAAGGTAATTAATATGAAGATGATTGAAACAGGTGCGGCAACTCGGCTTGCTAAGGCAGGATTTGCAGTCTATGGGATTGATAATGCAGGCCATGGAATTGATCACTTGATTTTCCTGTTGGTTAGTATTCTGTTTTTTTTGCTTCTCATAGTTATGTTGGTCTTTATATTTTTAGTTATTCATATTTTTAGTAATTCTAATTGGCACGCGACACTCACATACAATGCACACACAAAACACTTGAGAACTCGCACTTGAACTTTTGTATTGATTTTGGTTGTTCTCATGGTTTGGTGGAGATGAGGACTACATTACTGGTAGCCATCAAGGTTGGCAATGTCAATATTAATAGAATTCATTTACACATAATCAATATAGCTATATCATAACTGAACCTCAAGGAATTCATTTAGTTCCTAATTTTCTCCGGTTCAAGTGTTGCATTTATGATTCAATTCAATATATAACTGTTAGGAAGTCGACAATTATGAATGAACTGCTGATTCCAAGTCAAGTTTGTGAACAAAGGTAAGAATTAGGCTACTTGAATTCTATTTAAATCTTGTTTTTATTCTCTACTGCATCTACTATTAGGCTACTCTTTAATGCTACAATCCATTTACACATAAAAATTGCAACTATCAATGACTTGGAAAAACTAATTAGCTCAAGTTTGAAGTCCACTTGAAATCTATTGACATCTATGTAAATCACTATACATAATTATTTTTGCATTGAGTTATCTTAGCGACTGAAAAATAGATTCTTGATTTGTTGTCTTGCGGTTTTGTTTCTATGGGTGTGTGTGTTTGTTGTGGATTTTGTCATACATTTGTTTAAGAGGAAACTACTTTTTTTTTTTTGTTTAAGATGAAACCTTGATAAGAAAAGAAATTTAAAGCATGGATGAATTTTTTAAGGAATGCCTATGATGGACGATTATTATATTTTTCTTAGCTTTTTTATAGGTACTTATGTGGATTTGAGGTTTTTTATTAAGAGTTGAATTTGATAGAAATTTTGAAAGACAAACAAGTGAACTTTCTTTTGTATGCTCAAAATCTATCAGCCCTTTTATATTTTGATTGTTCATGTATAGATGACATGGATTTCATGTCTCTTTTTTTTTTTTTTTTTGTGGATTTGAATTTGGTAACTTTTATATTGGTTGGATAAGTTTTTTATGCAATAAATGTTATGTTTTGCCGTAGTATGTTGTGGCTTTCAAGCTTTTTTTTTTTAATATGTTTGAGTATAAAATGTTGATGGTTGTTTTGGTGGTTGAAAATGAATGCTTATTTTGGGGTGAAAAAGAATTGAATTGTGATTGTGCATTATGATGATTGTTATGTATGATTATAAGTTTTGTAAATAGGTTGAGATTTCTTTGAGCTCTTATTTTTAGAAGAAACTTTACCGAAATTTTTTGAAAAATATTGGGGACTAGATTGATTTTAATTTCTTTAATTAAAGTAAATGAAGAAAAAACTAATTTAAATTGACAAGTTGTTAATTATTTATATAGTGTCTTTAGGCACGGGTTATTACTTATATATATATATATATATATATATATATACAAAATATAAACACATCCAACAGACAACATAATTCCAATATAAAAAACGGTTCAAATCATTTCAAAAATTTTGACCTAACAATATACGGTGAATACTAAATTTTGTTTTCCCCCCAACACATTTCCTTTTTTAATAATGAGGGATTTTAACTTTTCCCAAATGTCTCTTTCTCATTCCTTTTCACACCACCGTCCAATTTTCTTGGCTCACGCCTCTCTCTCTCTCTCTCTCTCCCCTCCGAATTCACTCCTTATGTCTCTTTTTTCTCTCAAATCTCCCAAATCTAAGGCCTTATTTGTTTGAATCCCCTCAATCTGCCTTCCCTCTGCCATCTTGCCCTAATCTCTAGCCCATTCCCTCTTTATTTTTTTCTCTCCGCCAATATCCCTTCTCCTCTCCCATGACACTCGAGCAAACAGGGGTGCGGAAAACAATGGAGCAACACAATCTACATAATCATAAGGAAACGAAATAGGGCAGACAACATACTCTCAGGCCATTCGGCAAGAGTTGGGTCCTCCCAACGTTGGCCCGCTGCTTTGCATGGAACTGCCTTCTTTTTGGTCTCTGCTTTGTGCTCGATTTCAGTGCTTGCAAGCGCATCGTTTACGCACTCAATTGCTTCAGGTGTAATTGTTTGTGCATCCCTTGGAATAGCTGCTGGGCCTGTTTACAAAAAACTACCAAAATTATGTCCACTATCTGTATTTACTTGGAAGTATTACTTTCTCAAGAAAATTTAACTATTCGAAATTTGATATAAACTTTGCATGTATAAATTTTATGTTGTATTTCCCTAGGAATTTAGTTGTAAATTTTGCTGTGAGTAACGTGAAGGTTTATGGTGGCTTGATTTGATGTCTATACTAAACAGTAGTTGCTGTGATTATTTCCCTATATTTCTGTTGGTTTGGCATCTCTATAATGCTATGATATCATCTCTTGGGTTTGGAATGTGATAGTCACATAAGTCTCTATGTTGCTATCTTATTGTTAATTAATTATTCCCTACCATATTGTGTGTTTTTTTTTAATTTAATAGCATTGTGTGTTGGCATAAAATCATGTCCTTAACTCGATGGTGTGGTAGTTATGGTTATGTTTGGATATAGGATATGGGTGGCGGTTGTGTTATGTAGCTGATGGTGTGGTTGTGTTTTTGGTTGCGAGCTACAAAGATGAGAAGTGTATTGTAGGGAAAGTGGTTTGACAGAGATTACGAATAAATTGGTTTTTTTTTATGTCAAACTTCTTAAAGGTGAAGTATAAAATATTATTTACGGCATATTAATTAGTCCATTTTTGGTGGAGTGATTGACAATGTAATTTACCCCTTTGATTAGGGAAGACCCAGGTGGTAGAACATCATCAAGAAGAGAAAAGTATGGTTTTTGGGGTACCCAATTGGATTTGAAGTGATTTTCTTGAGGAACACAGTGACAAAGACAAGAGGAAAGGGGTAATGCAAAAAACAATGGAGCTCTAAGGCAATATGTAGGATCCAAGGTGCCACCAGTGAGATGGACACATGATCTTCGTTAATGTTTTGTTCATGTCATTGAAATGTTTGGAGGCCAAGACAGTAAGTGCTTAATCTATAATCTGTAATCTTTAAAGGTTTCTAGTGTTTGTTCTTTAGTTTCCACTTCCTGTAAAAACAATTTTTGGCAAGAAAAAGTATTTGTGCTTTAGGATAGTTCCTGTAGATTTGAGAAATCCAATAAAATTTTTTTGGAGTTTGTTGTAATAAATTTTGTGACTTAGAAAAGAAGTTTGATTATTGTGATCCGAATGTTGGGCAGTTTAGGGATGAGAATTTTCATAGTTTTTATGGTGGTTTATATAGGTTAAAATTTTGGAAATACTATCTTCATAGGAAATTTTGGCTTTTTTATTTCTTTATTAGACATATAAACTTATTCGGTCTCATTATGTGTGTCACTTTTAATCTTGCTAATGCTCATTTTCTATAATTATTGAGTATTTTTTTGTTACATGGTGTCTTCAGATATGGACATTTACTAGTATATATATATGAGTGATAATTTGAGAAAAATTACAAAAGTGATCTTATATGTATCTAGGAATCTAATTCAATTCAAATAATAGGTAAATATATTTTTATTGTTAAATGAACTATTTTAAATACATTGTTAAAATAACATAACAAAAAAAAATCTAAAGAAAATGCTATTTTTTTTTATCAAAACATAAATATGAAATAAAGGAAAAAAAATGAAAGATGAGAGAGATTGAGAGTTATGAAATGTAAGGGTGTTCACCTTATCCTGCGGGTAGGAATTATGATATTTCATCTTTCTATCCGATATTTTTTGGAAGAGATTTTTCTTGGCTTACCCTAGCCAATCAAGTGTACTATTGTTTTTTGAATTTCATCCAAAACAATAGAGTAGGAAGTCAAGTAGGAAATTGGGTAAACACAATATTTTTTAATTATTAATTTTTAGATCATTTTAATAATTCAATTAAGTAACTTGTACCAATTAATTAACACAATAATGTTAAAAATGTTAAAATATTAAAAATTTAACACATTAATAGTATTTCTGATTTGTGGTTTCTGCACACATTAACAGTGTTAAATGTAAAAAATTTAACACAAAAAAAAAATTTGGTAAGAAGATGGAATTTTTATGAAGATTTCACATTCCTACTCGATTTTTACGAAATACCAAAATTTATTCCATTGGCCTACCCGATTTTTTCCTGCAGGCAATTAGTAAGGGAAGGTAGGGTCGAAATATTTGAATAATCAAAATTTTGAACACTCCTAACGAAATGAACAAAAAAATTAATTTAATGATTACATTGAATTAGATCCCCAAATTATATACAAATAACATTTCTCTTTGTATAACCATGCCGAGAATGCGATAGGTTGTCTAGTTGATGATGTCTCTTATTAGGATAAGATACCGAAAAAATCGAACAATAATTTATACCCACGGAACTTATTTATTTTATTTATAATCATTAATCAACGACAAGGGGTATTAGAACTATTTTACGCGCACTTTGATTAATCTCATCTGATCTAATTAAAGATATGTTATCTACATTAAAAATAGAATATTTATGAATGATAAATCTTTTATCCCGATTATCACTTGAACTATAGGGTGCCTTCCAAGTTCCAAATTAAGGAGCAAAATCGACAAATTGTCACTGGACTAGTCTCAAATTTTACTTTCTTTTACAGATCATCCAAAGATGTACCTCAGTTCCTTGCCAAGTTGTTGATGGGTATGTTTCGAAATTTGAAAATACCATTTCGATGGTCTGTAAAAGAGCAACAAACTTTTATAACTTTTTTCAAATCAGAGACAAATTCAATTTTTCATAAGACTTACACAGTACCTACCCTACCACCCACTCTCATCTTTGAGTGAATGAATGCAAACAGTAAGGAACTTTCTGGGGAAGAGAAAACCCTAAACCAAACTAAAATGGGAATGGATAGTGATAGTTCTGAAAAACAGAAAATTAAACAATTAAATTAGAAAATTAGAAAATTGGTAACTATCTTTTCTACCACTAGAAATGAAAACCCTAGAAGTGTGTGAAGGAGAAGGCTGTAGCTAACATAACCCAGAAAGAAAATACAAATTTAGTAAAGGACAAAGGTGGTAAAGCGGGTACTCTGTATTCTGAAATGGTATTTACTGATTTAAATACGTATCTGTATGTGTAAAGCAGAGAGATTGAGTGGTCAAATCATTTAAAGTAAGCTTTTAGTTTGTGTACATGCTATATATGTACAATCATGTAGATGTATACATGTGATGATTGTAAGAAACATAATGAGGCGGAGGATGGAGGGTTTTGGAGTGTTTGAGACATCGGGTTATTGTCCGGGAGGCCCAAGAGAGGGTTATGGGTTGGAAAAGCGAGGCAACATCTGGCTTTTGGTAATGCAGAAGCCCTAGCTCTCTCGTAACTTTGAAAACAACAGGTAAATGAAAGCTATATCACCCCATGCACACGTCCCTTTCTAGCTCCTCTCCCCCACATCTGCCGCCTGCCTCTCTCTCTCTCTCCCTTTCTCTCTCAAGAACACATCTGGAACGCCAACCACTTGTTCTTTATTTTATGTATGTGTATGCATATCCCATGCATGCGCATGGACATACATACACGTCATACATAACCGACCTACGGACAAGACCAAAAAACTGATAGAGGAAATAGGGTTTTGGCCCTCTGGCTTCTTATATCTACATCAAGTAGACAAACCTCCTCTCTCTCTTCGTTTTGCCTATCTAATTACTCCTTTCTTTCACCACTTATAATCAAGAAAAGCAGATCCAAGGTGGTTGTTAGTCTGTCAAGCCATCAATCAATCAATCAAAGCAGCCAATAGATTTTAAAAGAACAGGAAATCAAAGATGTCCTCCTCTTCTACCTTGTCATTGGACCACCTTCCTCCCTCGGAGCAGCTGTGTTATGTTCATTGCAGCATTTGAACACCATCCTCGCGGTATTGTCTTAACCCAAAATTGTTCTTTTTGTCCTTTTGCCCCACTTTGCAGTCAATTAGTGTTTCTTCTTTTTTTCTTCGAAAATTTTCTTATTTTTGTTATTTTTTAATCATAAAAGATTCTGGGTTTTCTGTGCTTTCATGGTAGGTGAGTGTTCCTTGCACAAGTTTGTTCAAGACTGTCACAGTTCGGTGCGGCCACTGCACCAACCTCCTTCCGGTGAACATGCGTGGGTTGCTTCTGCCTTCAACTAATCAGTTTCACTCGGGCCACAATTTCTTCTCTCCTTCCCACAACCTCATGGTATACATGTTTTACACAAAAAAATCTCTTACATTATCAGCCCAGTTTTAAAATATTGGACACTCTTTATGAGTTTATTCTTTTTTTCTTTTTTTATGATCACGTCGCAGGAAGAGATCCAAATCCAAACCCTAACTTTGTGATTAATCAGACAAACACAACTGAATTAGGCCTACCAACTCGAGGAGGGCTTGTAGAGCTCTCATTTTCATGGCCTTCTGCTACTAACAGACGTGAGATTCATTGCATATTCTCATACTTTATTTCTTTTCTTGAAAAATCGCAACATACAAGAACTTCTATTCTGACTGATATAACTTGTAGCAGGTTTTTGGTAGAATTTCCCTTTGTTTTGTTACCCTTTTCCATAAAGAGGAAGATTTCTTTTTTCCTTATATATTGATTTGACCCCTTTGTGCATGATTTCTATCAGCTGAAGAGACCCTTTGATAGATCCTTTATTGAGTTAAGAATTTTATGGGAATTGAATAAGACCATTTGCTTTCGTTCTCCCTGTCTAAAGAATTCACTATCCGTCATCCACTCACCACCTTATTCAAGATCAAAAGTCAATCTCATGCTTCCTATTAATCCGTTTTCTTTCATCTCCACAACAGTTCCCTTCAAATAACATTACTGATGGGACATTTTCAGAACGCCAACAAATGACGACACGTGTCCTTGACACCGATGAAATATCTCTGCTATGGTCCTGACACGTGTTATCGACATTCTTAGCCCTTCTCGCCGAGGGAATAATTCCCGGGGCCGAGGGACTCCGAGGCAGCATGGATGACACATATCTCTCGGCTCAAATTGATGATATCGGTCCCGATGTGTGTATGCTCCCTCAGTGCTGAGGTGTATTTACTAGAATGTGGACTTTTTCACTCCTACAAGGGTTGGTAATTAACAGGTGATTAGCATAGGTCAGGTTAGGCTAGGCTAGCCATCATAACAACGTTCTACTCAATGGTGTCAGGAAGCACAAGAATGCAGAAGATTCAACCAAGGAGGAATGGACATGTGGCATGCAGTGTCTGATCAAAGACAAAAGGACCAGAATGTCCCTGCTGACACATGACTTGAACAAACAGACATTTAATGTATCACCTTCCTGATGAGACAACATTTAAGGCATGGAGGCCTAGAAGTGAAAGACATTAAATGCTCCCATGTATGGGCATTTAATACTCCCTCGCCGATGGAAAGGCATTGAATACTCGATAGGCCGAGAGAAAAGCATCAATTGCTCGAATTCTCGAGCAGTTAAGGCTGAATGCATTCCCCACTAAAGGAAAGGGGGCACACTGCCCCATCTCTAATGATTGCATATTAGCTATATTATTAGCAATGATGAGCTTTTAAAGGTATAAATAATCCTCAAAAACATATTGCAGAAGTACGCAATAACTTCTGAAAAGAACCATAGTGCTTTCTTCTCCCTTTTTCAAAAAATTTACTTGATCGTCGGAAGGGATACGCCGAAGAGCACTTCGGCACCTTTTTAACCTGTTTTTCTGTGTTACAGGATCCCCCACAGTCTTTTAGGACCGGTCAGACGACCCAACAAACAATTTATCACCAGTCTTTAGAGCCCCTTTGTCCCTCTCAACCTACTTCTTGTTGCTAAAACCCACTTTCGGATGGATCGAAACTCTATCAAAGGCGATCAGAGATTCTGAAAGTAAACCTTTCGTTCCGTCGGAATTACTATCTTGTCGAACCACAGTTCATCATGGAAGAGATCTGTTCCTACTTCTACTGTTGCGTAAAAATCAGCACGCACAATTACCTACATCAATCTTATTTATCAATCTTTCGCATTTCAACTCTGGCTCAAAAGAGTGCTCAAAATGTTTTCGCAAGTCTACGAGTGTGAGGACTGAGGAGTGAGTGTCAAAGTGTGTGTGTAGTACTTAAGAAATAAAAATTGCTGATATAGTTAGAATTTTTTTTCTTTTTTTGTTTTTTTGGGGGGGAGGGAGGGGGAGAGGGAGAGAGATGATGAAGTGCCTCTGTAGAGTCTAGACTATAGAGACTAGAGAGTGACACGAAAAGTCAACAAGTGATTTTGATTTGTCTGTGTATTTGCAGCCCCGGAGAAGAGACAGAGAGTCCCCTCCGCGTACAACCGCTTCATCAAGTAAGTAATCATGAAAATGCTTTCACAAATCTCTACCTGTATATGTGTGTGAAATATATCTCTACATAGACAAAAAAAATCTATTGAATAGGCGCAGGTAGCTAGTATATGAATGGTCCTGACACCCATCCATCCATTTGTAGGGACGAAATCCAACGCATCAAGGCAGGAAATCCCGATATTAGCCACAGAGAAGCCTTTAGTGCTGCGGCTAAGAATGTATGAAAAATTAAAATTCCAAGTATTTTTTCCAAAATTATGGTTTCATTTTTCTTACCCACTCCTTTGTTATGTTGAATCTCTCTCTCTCTCAGTGGGCTCATTTTCCACATATTCACTTTGGTCTCATTCCTGATCAAATTGTCAAGAAGGCTAACGTCCGCCAACAGGTATAATGTGCACTGTCTTCTCTTACAAAACCCTTGAGAAAAAAAGGCACATTCTTCGTATATCTATCCTTTGTGTTTGTTTTTTGGGTTTCTGTAGAATGGTGAAGATGTTCTCATGAAAGATGGGTTCTTTGCATCAGCAAACGTGGGCATTTCTCCTTAGTAAGAAGCGGAGCTGTTGCCTTTTCATTTCTGTAATAGGTCTCTCTCTCTCTCTCTCTTTAGTCTCCTTTGACTTCTGGTTGCAGACCAAAAAAAAAACTTACCTACTGGTTTCACTCGTCGGAGAAAAACATTTTGTGGTCCAGATGCTAGGCAAACCCACCCCTTTTAGAATCTTCTTAGCTTCTCTACCAATGAAACTAGAATTTTAGATAGGTTGACACTTCTCTAGTATGTACTGTATGTAGTTTAGTTCTGTAAGTTCTTCAGTTTACTTTTGCTTCGAAAACATCAAGAACCTTCATCTCACCTTTCTCAGCAATGTGTCTTTTGGCTAGCTAGCAATTAACTAGTTTGCATAGTGGTGTTTTTCCAAAACAATTTCGTGTTTTATTTCCCATCTACAGCATATTAATCAATGTATAATCAATCAATTAACGCTATCTTGACCTACATTAATACCACGATTTGTTCATTCAATCTATTGCTATAGTTAAATTCAAATTGGACAATATCCAATTTTAAGACTCACCGTTAATCTAAAGATAACAATGGATGAGACCAATAAATTATGTCATAAATTCATAAACATAGCTTATGATTTTATCATTAGTATCATCATAAAGCAACAAGACCATTGCTTTTGGTGCTTCACCATTAGCAGCGCATCATCTAACAACAAAAAAAGTGACATGTTTTGTCAACGGATCAGGTTTAGATTGAATTTTGATAGATCTAAATTTGATTTTAAAAGTTAAATTCGAATTTGATATAATAATTTGGCAAATTTTATTTTCGTAGTCTATATCTAAATCTGTTAATAATCCAAAACCTAATCAAATTCAAATAACTTAATTACCTAAATTCTAACAAATTATTATTATACTTAAATAATCACTTAATTTTTTGTATAAAAATATATAAATAATTCATATTGGATATAAATATATTCACATCTAAATCCATGAAATATAAGATATCAGATTCGGATTCAAATTATTGATAAAAAAATATTAATCTATATTCGACTAATTGAATTTAGATCACAATCCAATCTATTGTCAAGCCTACCTATTATTGCTCATTTCTTTTGGGTTACTTTCGAAGGTGAAAAGTCCAGGCATCTAGTTTTCGATTCAATCATATTAATCCATTTTTGTCATCAAATTGATAGAGGATCTTATTCAAACCCACAACCTTAAATTTCAATAATTGGAACGATGTTCATTAAACCAACCGCTAATCTCTTCCGGCATGTATTGGTGGGCACACATTTAGCACCTTAATAGTTTCAGCACAATCTATTCACTTGCAAATTCATAACCTATAATTAGGGCTTTCCATGGGTTCTACCGGGCCTAAAAAAGGGCCATGGGCCTAGTCAGCTATTAGTGTGGCCTGCCTGTACGAAGCCCATTGTACTATGAGCATATTGGGTCCGCAAATCTAATCCATTTTAGTGCCCTACAAGCGAAGAACTCTTAAGAGAGGCCTTACCTCTAATTTCGGCCCTAATTACCTCAACTACATATCCTTTGAACTCATGACTAAACATGTAAACTCAAAATGTATAAAATCACTTATAAATCACGCACATCAAGACAAGCCACGTCTATTCCAACACTCAAACTTGAAACGTCGAAGCACTAACCACTAAAGCCTTTACTATCCAAGTGTTACCTCCTTAGGTCATGGCATGGCTATCACATGCAGTGCCTCACCCAAGAGTGCCCCATGCCTCAACCAAGGTGGGGGTGTGCTTGCCTAAGCATCCCATTTGTGCAAAGATGGCTTCTTAAGGATTTGGTCATGTACTTAGTTTAGTATCAAAGGTGTTTGACAAAAGTTTCAAGTGGTATGCAATGACTATATATCAGGGTCTTGTCATTATGACTCATCGGTTTAGAAGATGTATGACATTCTCATTCGGAAATTGTCTCCTAATGCTATTATAGAGGGGTGTTCCTCGAAAAGATGCCAGGCCAGCAACCCTTAAGACTGATCCTATTCCTCTTCCTCTTAGCTGGATGCATTGAATTGAAACAAAATCATGTTTATTTAAGTTCTAGTAGCAATAGCTTTTTTTGACTGCGCCCTCAAATCTTAGCATGCCAAAATAAGGCATGGCCTCAAGAATGCTTGTCATGGGTGTGGGTAATGCATGCAAAGTTCAAGACTTGAGAAATGTGGGTCCAATGATTATGGCGATCTGTCGTTGGTGGAAGCAACATGCATGGCTGAGGGAGGCAGCACATGCATGGTAAAGTTGGTCATAATCAAGCAAGCGATGTTTAGCCGGTGGGATAAAATTGTGGTGAATTGTAAGTTTAAAAGACCAAGTCATGAGCTGCGCATGACTTAGCACGCAGCCAAGAGAAATCAAGTGTTGTAAGCTCATAAGAAAGACGTGCAAATTATGTGAGGCAGTTATGAGCAACTGGTGGCATGTGTACATCAGGTGAGACGGTGGTAGTATTTGCACATCATGCAAGGCATTTTCAAATAGTTGCTGCCATGTGCATAGCATTCGAGAGCAATTACGTGCAATTGATAACCGAGTTAATCGATGGTTACAACTGCTCCAACCCTGATCAACACATTGTGGGGAACTGATAGAACCAACCAACCATGATCAGCAGATTGTGATGGAATGGCAGAACCACCCACAATCATTGAGGGCGAATTTGATTAGTGATTGCAATCCTAACAGTTGGAGACATCAACTACATAGTTGAGATGACTAAAGTTGGTTGATGTCGGTATTACCTAAACAGTTGAGCTTGTAACCGCCATATATAATTTTTGTAAGTAGTTGAAAATCCTTTAAACTTTTTGAGAAGTTGAGTATTTTGGTTTATAACCTCATGTGCCTCTGTGTGTGTGCGTGATTTTTGACTATATTCTATTCGATATATTATTTATGTGAGCAATTGTATGAATTTGACTAAGACCGAGTGTTAGATCTCAATACCATCAGAAGGCAAAAATTCACGTGGTATATGACCCTTTCGACACTAAGCTAAGTGCATTTGTACCATGTAAGCTCTCTGTCTCTTGTGCAAATTACTCAAGTTTATTCCCCTCTCAAATCAAATGTTCAAAAGCATAAAAGGGGGGCTGATGGTGATAAACAAAAATCAAATCGAGCACACGGTGAGACAAAACGCACGCAACCTTCACATCTACATCATGAAAGCATAGGTAATAGTAAGAAGTTTAAACCCCATCATGTTCTTGTTATGAAGGTTGCTTTCCTTCTTTAATATGGTAGAAGTTCCTCAAAAGAAACATGATATCACTCAAGACATGAAACTATAGCTGGTTGAATTTGCATCTAAAATTGATAAATTGTCATCACTACATAAATTATAAAAGAATGTTAATTCCAAATGGATCGATCTCCGGGAGCAATAGTACAATGGGATAGAAAACATACATGTCAAAAATCAACAATGGTTCATATCAACAAGACTAGAAATACACAAATACCTAAACACTCCAACCACAAATCTCACTAAGCAAACCAGGGCTCCCGGATGCATCGTAGAGGACACATCATAGTGAAATCAATGTATATGTTACCATCAGAACAGTAAAGAACAGCTTGGATCCAATGCCCAGAATTGGTGCGGCCAAAGAAATATCCTGTGGCCTGACAATAAAGCGGCAATGTAAAATCGAAGTCAGTCATTAGAAATGACTAAAGGCAGAAAATGTTCAACAAAGATGGGGTCTGATACATACTTTTGCAATTTGCTGAGGGCACCACAAAAGAGGGCATTGTCTGGGATAGACAACTCTGTTTTGTTAGTAGCCTCTGGATTAATAACCCGGACATATGTTTCTTGACCGAGATACCACGAGTCAAGATTTTCAGTTCTCAGATTCCAGATTCCAACATTGTCGAGGGAGACTAAGATTGCTGTCCATGCCCCCGGAAATACCTATAGAAGGCATAGAGAAAATAAGGCCATATTTGTTGCTTTCAGAGTCGGTTGAAAAAGTACTTGGGCTTTTAGGGAGCAGTAAAAAAGGATTATATAAAGTTGAAAATCGTGTCCTCAAATAGCTACTAAGACTTAATCCTTGAACAGAATTCCATAGGATAGGACCCAACAGTATAAAAGCAGTTAGCAAATTTACGACGGGAGTACTCTCAAAACATTCCGTTCAAAATATTTCATGTGAGTAGTTAACCAATGGAGGAATTCGATTCCCCTATAGTTCAAATAAGATTTTGTCGAATCACTAGTTAACCAATGAACTTTAGGAAAATGGCACCAAACCGAAGAACTAAATATTTTCATTACAGAGAGGATCCTGTCATCTATTCTAACTTCATGGCCTGGTAAACTAGCTTGATAGAAACCAATATATCCTATTCTGAGGTTGTTGGACTATGACCACCAAACAAAATGGGCAATCTAATATAGCAGTCAGAAAATTGAAGTTCATCAAAAGAAAAACAAATCCAGACCAAATCTCCAATATGTTTGACAATCCAAAGAAACTCCCACATGACACATTGCCAGAAGTTGAATACTGAAGAGTAAAACCATGATCTTTAAACAAGGGATTATCAAGGCTTTACAAGGAACCAGATAGGACTAAGTGCATAATTTCCAAAGTGGTACCTGTGTTGTGCTGCGAGCAATTCCATCCCACTTATTATATGTGCCCCTGCTGTTCTCTGTCCACTCACCAAAATCCATCCTGCAGTGATTTTGTCATAGTGAAGAGTGTTAATAGCAAGTTGGGAGGAAACATATGTATTATCCCGATAGGTACAAGTAATTAGGTTTAGAAGGAGAACGTTTCCTACCCAACCATAAAAAATGCATATCCGCTCAAGTGATAGGTTTGCACCTTGGTGTCGTTGTTCTGCAGTATTATTTCCATGAATCCCCTGTATGTACCATTAATTACTGATGTTTCCATCCGAGGGGGGCCTGTAAGAGGCCTACTAGGGAAATCAAGCTTATAGACTCCTTTCAGTTTGTATTGGTCAGCAAGTCTGATTGGTGTATTGGGATTGACAAATGAGATCCCACTAAGTGCTGTCCGCCTTTTCCCATTAATCATCACTGGCGGTGTGTTTCTCAACACATATACCTCAGTCACATTGATGGATCCATATCTAAATGAACCTTGTGGGTTTGGCCGGGCACCACTAGCAGACACATTCCACCTAGATAAAACCATAAGATTGCCAATATCAGTGAGACAGATTGATAAGCTGCTAGCTATAATAGAAATACCTTTTTTCATATGATTTGAAAGCACAATGTATTAAGTGTACATAATCAGGTTTATTGCATATGTTTAACGCGGTAGTCACAAATACGTGAAGAATGGAAAATGAAATCTTAGGTAGTTGCAACATATAATAACAGAATAATTCATGAAAGATCCTTTCTTGCATATTTTATCTCCAATGCACGCTTCCCAATCCTTCAAATTGCATACATTCTTTGCCAGCATAGTTGCTAATACTTGATCAATCTTTACATAACCACCGTTTTCCAACTCTTCATGAAATTTTCATAATTCATTTGTTTATTTGTAATCACTCGGGCACTATGCTAATTTACAGATCCAAGAATTCCTCCTGAATTTGTTATTAAGCTTCGAAGGAAGGTGCTGTATAGTTAAAGATGCAGACAAATAAATGACTACATTGGACTGCAACCAAGCCACATTACAAACGAACCTGATGGACCTGGCCTGGTTCATTGAGAAGGTTTTGTCATATTGATCATTTGGCGGGTCCGGGAGGGGACCAGATGCCTTTCCTTTTGAATTCGAATATTGCAAGATGGCAACACCTGTAACTCTTTGCCAAAGTGATTCATTCACAAACCTGGGGCTTGCTACAATGTAGTAATCTGTACTTGCATTCTGATCCATGGTTATCAGGAAGGAGTATGTTTGTCCAACATGAATATCTAAACTAGTATAATTCTGTTGCACTGTATATGAACCCTCTGTTTCTGCCAAAAGCAGGTTATGGTTTTGAATTCTGAAATTCAAACTGGTTGATATCCCAACATTGCTCACACGAAGACGGTAAGTTTTGCCTGCACAACATGGTAACATTTGCAATAATTTAAAGCACTTGTAAAATTCACTTTGTTTAGTTTACATGGATTAACACATGTTTCAATGCAAAACCCAAAAAAGCTCAAGGTAAGGATGTTTTGTAGCTGTTTGTTTACTATACTTGTCCAGTGCTGTATGCGAATCTGCACATGGTTGTATAACATAAGAAATTTGCTTCCAGCTAAAGCATAACGCTTAATGACAAAACACAGAAAAGACCCTTTCCCCCATACTATAGATAGAACATAATAACCCCTACATTAGTGGCCATTTTTTTAAATCAAACCCATTTCCTTTATTAGTCATTTGCATACTCTGACTGTCCGCCAAATACAGATACAACCAGACAAGCACTCAAGACCCTCAGATGCGGTCATCAGCCCAAAAGTAACTAGAAATTATACAATTAATTATAAGCTGGCAGGAGCCAAATTCTTTGACAAAATTGGAAGGTAAAAAGCTAGATACAGTGTGTTGCTTCTTAATAAGGTGTTACATAAAAAAGGCTCACTCCAAAATGGTGTTACATAAATACATAAAAATTCATACACATTTCTTGGCAAGCAATGCCTTTCATATTACTCACCTGGGTGGACTTCAATTGTTGCATAATCAATACCATCAGGGACACGAGTATCGTTATATCTATAAGGGCCTTTCCCATTAATAAGAACACCATCGGGCATCCCAAGATCTTTCCCGGCGTTAAGGGCCCTCCTTAAAGCCTATAATCCGAACAAAACGAAACATTAGATCAATTACACCCTGAACTTCAACAAGCACCTAAAAAGAATATACTTTGACAATGCATTCGCAAACTAACCGTGTGGTTCCGGGTATACCAATCACCAATCAATATTGTAATATCACCATAAGGGGTATCAAAAGGAATTGGAATTATAGGCCTGTTATTAATAATAAAGCCACCATAACCGCCCGACGCTCTCTGAAAATTGAGCGAAGGGAAGTAGAAGAAGCTCCCAATTTGGTCCTTAACTTGAAACTGGTAAGTCCAATTCCACTTTGGAGGAATTGGACAATTTGTCCCAAGCACCCCATCTTGCCAAGAACTCCTCCTCTGTTGAATACCAGACCTGTCTCACCCATTGAATTCTAAAGCTTTAGTGACAGTTTAAGAGACCAAATTTTCAAATCAAATACCCAAAAAGATTGTTGTAAACCATACCAATGCATGAGAAGTTCTTCGTCTAATTTGTTGTGTACATTGACAACAACATTGTTGTTAGTAGTCGAATTAATAGTAGGCCCTGGAAAATGGCCATTGATAGCAATAACCTGCAATTCAGAGCAATGCAGTTCAAGAACTTCAACCCTAAAAGTTCATCCAACACTAGAACACTAGCTCTGTATAAAATCGTAGCACATTTATTAGATCTGAAGATAAAGACTCAAAATTTCAAAAATCTAAGACCAACCCATGAATTATTCGTCAAACCCACTAAACCCATAGAAGAATCTGTATAAGATTTATACCATAACATATCTACAAATAGAATACAAAGAGAACAGAGAGATGAGGAGATCTGAAAGTGAGACCTGTTGGGGTACTCCAAGAGGAGAAGCAGTAATGTAAGAGACTTCAAAATCGTAGTTGACAAACGGATCTTCAGCCAAACACAAGCTAATCGACAAAAAACAGTAGATAAAGAACACAGAAAGAAAGCTGCACGAACCCATGTATTCAACCTCTGGGTATAGTTCAAAGCCAAAAGAACCAACTCCCTTGCTCTTATGTGTTTACATTATCAGAAAGGAAGACGAAAACAGAAAGAGAAGAATAGAGAGAACAACAGTGAATGGATGTGTCTAGAGTATTCTTGGGTATAGTATTGTAGATTTAACACACACAGAGATAGAGAGGCGCTTCTTGTTTTGGGGGTAGAGTTTTCTTGGGTGGGGTTAAGAGAGAGAGAGAGAGTGGGAACGGAAGAGGATTGATCTCGAGCTTTATGTCGGTCTTCCCTGCCCCTTTAGCCACAAATCATCCTTCAGAAGGAATGCATGCGAAGAGAGAGACAGATAGAGAGAAAGTGTGTGATGTCGCGCGTATGGTGGGGAAGGATAACAGCGAAGGGCCAGTGCACAGTTGAACAAAAGACACCAGCACACGCGCACTCTACACTCCTCACAGTTCAAATTGACTGATGTTGTCTTCCTTCCGACAATTAATATTGACTAACTTTCATGTCAAACAGAAAAAAAAATATTTGAGTAAATATATGGTGTGGGCGTCCCAAAGAGAGTTTTCTACAAGGGCTCTCTCTACTTTTATTATTGTCTTTTGTTTTGAAATTCGACAAGAAGATACATTATTTAAAAAAATTATAAAATCGTATCGTACTTTAATTTTTAGAATGATAAAAAGACAACTGCGTGAAATTCAACAAGAATATACATGTTTAAATCACACCATCTAATGCTAGATTATTTTAGAAAATTGAGTGAAATTTGTAGAATTGTGGTCTAAATTATACATATATTAGGGTAACCTATACCTGAAGGTACAGTAGTGAGAAGTGATGAATTTGGGAAAGAAAAAATTTAATATAAATAATTTTGAAAGAAATGTTAGTGGTTGTTGAATTAATCTATTTGAGACCGTTTGATAAATTTATTAAAATCAATCTTATTTTATATTATATTATAGATACATCCACCACTCCAAATTATCTTGATTAATTGTTAAACTACTCAACTATTATGTTTAGATTTCTTCTATTACATTTTTCTTAAATTTTTGGATAAATTTCACCCACGCCTCTTGACATTGCCCCAATTGACACAAAGACTTCCTAGGATTACAAAAATAGCATAGCGACCCGTTAACATTTATAACATGTTTCATCCACACCTCTTGCCTATAAATAGATGCGATTAGTCCTAGTGAAAAATAATAACACCAACTAAATAATACACAACATTTTTAGAAAGAAAGTTTACGAAAAAGTTTTAAAGAAAATAAAGAGAGAGACGGGGGTGGGAAAGGGAGGGGCCTGGGTGATAGTAAGATTAGTTGGTGGTGAGAGGAATCTAGAAATGAGTAGTGGCGAGAGTGAAGAAAGGGGGGAGAAAGGCTCCAAAGAAATAGAGAAATAGAGATGAAGGTCACGAGCGCATGTGATAATTGGTTTGGTGTAAAAATATAATTGTACCAAGTCCGTCAATGCAAGGGACCTTGTGACACTCATAAGGTGTCGATGTGCTATTTTTTTAATGTCATGGGGTCTCCTTGTCAATTGGACAAATATCGGAAAAAATTCTTCAAGAATGTTAGTTTAGTGATTCTATAAAAATTTATTTGAACACATTCGGTAATCTCTTTTAATAAAAATATTTAGAAACCTAAAAGTAAAGGCCCTATGAAAACAGATGAGATCGGCCGCACCCTATCCTTCCCCCTAAAGTTACGTACAGATTTTCTGAAAGCGCCACATGATTGCCGGCCAGTGCTAGCAAATAAATGGGCCCCAGACGGTGGATTCACCCTATTTATGGGTGGGTGGTTGTCCTCTTCTTCGAGGATGTCTTCTCCAAAGCAAACCTACCAAGTGTCTGATTCTCCTTTAAAATATGATTTGGAGTAGTAATGACCTGTGTTTAAGCCCACGTCAGCTAAACAAGGGGCAAATCCTATTGCGTGATGCTGCAGAGATCATTGGTATTATTGTTGACGTTCAGGTTTTGACCAATCCATGGCTGGAGTGAGGTTGTGCTCAACTGAGATTGAGCATATGTGATCAGGAGTCAAAGATTATAGGTGTCAGCGAAACACATGAAGCCGTTGCTCAGAAAATGGTTCAGATTTGATTGTGTCGAGGTGGCAAAAATGACACTCTATGACTGGTCCCACCACGAAATTTACCGACATACCCACTAATATCTCACCAGGTGAGCAGTGACCCCATGGACAGGGGAAAGGCTCCGATACTCAATGAGTACCGTACAGAAACTTAAAAGTTGTAAATGGCGACACCGTAGACTTTCTCTATAAACAGAGGCTATTAAGAGCATCTTTCAAAATAAAAGTTATTTTAGTTATTTAAAAAGTAATTTTTTTATTTTATTTATTCATTTTTTTAGTATATATTTCATCAGATTTTTTATATTTTCAACTATTCTTTTTAAATATTATTTCTTTTTTTTTTTGTATTAATTTTTTTGGGAATAGTAAAAGAGAGAAATAGAGAAAATGGAGAAAAAAAGACGATGAGAGAAAAAAATATTATAAAAATTTTTTACATATCACTATAGTGATACTCTAAATATAGAGTATTATTATAGTAAAATGTTATTTGAAATACTTTGAAGATAATTTGTTAGAATTAAATTTTTAAGTTAAGGTGACCTAAACTTAAAACTCATTACTTTTTGAATGATCTTTCTTGTATTTCTTTTGCTAGGGGTTTAGATAATCCTCTTACTTTTTCTCGGTACCCAAAAAAAAAAACCTTAAAACTCAAATTTGAGTAAAAATTTAAGTCAAAAGTTTGCTCTATATTATCCTAAACGGTATTTTCTTTAATTGTTTTTCTCTCTTCAAGTTTTATTATTTTAGAAGTCAAACTGGGTGATCAATGATTTTTGGATAGGGCTCCTACCCATCGTCTTTTTCACCGAAGTCGAACTGTGTGGTCACTCGTCGAAGTCGAACTGGGTCCATCAACGATGGAAAGATCGACAACAGTAACTAGTGAAGGGAGGAGTGGCTAGTGATTCGACGACATAAAATTTTTCTTGGCAGATAGACGACAAAAAGAGAAGAAAGAGAAGAGATTCAATGGCTCAAAAATTGAGTAGAGGTTTAATGTTCCTCAATTTTGGGGCAAAATAGTTTTTATACAGATTTGAGTCAAAGAGTTTAGAGAATTTTTGAATCATTTTGACTCAAATTTATATTTGAATTTAGTTTTGAGTAAGGAGCGAAGATGCTGGCAACGTGGACTTGACAACGGGGTACCGACAAAACTAGAGTTGATTATGTGGTACTGACAAAAAAAATTCAATATCGTATTCCAAAAATTACTACTTTAATAGGTGTTTTTATAATTTTTGTGAGTTAATTTACAACAAAAAAATTATTATTTTTATGTATATTTTTATCACTTTTATGATAATTATCGTCTAATCCGACAACTCCTCTTTCTTACTTTTCCTTTATCCCCTTTATTGAAATTGGGTCCAGCCAATAACTATCCAACCCTTCCCTCTAATCCCTTGCCTCGGGTGGATTGAGTGACTGATTGACCGAACTTCTGAGGTGTGAAAGTCTTGCTCTTTCAAGTGGGAGGATATCGGCTCAAAAGGAAGGGTCCCAACAACCTTTATTCTTGACGAGAATGATCGTTTTCCTGGAACTAATTTCTACACAAGCGGTGGAGCATGTGGTTTAATTCTATACAACGCGCAAAACCTTACCAGCCCTTGATATATGAACAACAAAACTTGTCCTTAACGGGATGGCTCTGACTTTCATACAGGTGTTGCATGGCTGTCGTCAACTCGTGTCGTGAGATATTTAATCAAGTCCTGTAATGAGCGAGGGTTTGGACAAACTTCCTTGTGGCTGGATCCATTTTCACATCACTACCCTCGGGTTTTAAAATGGCATTTAACTCCCTTGTGTTGTTGGACTAAAAGCACAATTAACTTTGTTAACTATTACATTAAAATGATCTTAATACCCATCAATTTGTCTTTTAATTTAAAAAACAATTAATCCAAAATTACTTCGGAGTCCAGCCATTATCGCCATCACCATTAAATTCGACATTCACTCCAGTAGTCAGCCCCAACTCTGGCATTCACTGTGCCATCACCACCAACAGCAGCCCACCGCCTACACTATACAAGCCATTACGTCTTCACAATTCAACCTCAACACAACTCAAAATTTTAATCAGAATTCCACTTTATCCCCCAACTCTGGCATTCACCGTTCTTACACCAACAAATCTCAATTCCTCTTTTCTTCACCAAAAATCAAAACATAAATCAAAAATCAAACTGAAAGTAGAATCAAATTGGGAATCGACATGAAAATAAAACAAAATAGGATATCAAAATTTGAAACAAAGATAGAAAATTAAAATCAAATCAAAACTAGTACTCATGGTTGTTGGTGCCTATACAGTCGTCGGCGACGCCATTCGCTCTGCTGCCTGTCTCACAGTGTTATGAAGCTGCACACAAAGAAAGAGAGAGAGAGAGAGAGAGAGAGAGCTAATGAGGAGATAAAAGGTGTTTGTGGGTTATTCCATTTAGATGTTTTCATCATTTTTTTTAACCTATTTCGATGTTTTTCATTATTGTTTTACCTAATTTCATTAAATAGATCACCGGCCACGTATAAGTTAACAAATGAAAGAGGTAGCCCAGTGAAAGTAGGGATGAACTATAAATACAAACATCCTAAGTTTAAAATTCGACAATTCCTTTAAAACCAAACCATGAGGGGTTTATTTGAGTGAATCTAAATTCAACCCACCTCTATCACAGATGATGGACCACTAGTATAGCATCTAAGAGCAACTCCAATTGAGTTGTCAAATTCTAACTGGACAACTACAACTGTTCTTTTTTGACATTCTCTTCTCCTCCAACAACTATGTCAAATGTTGGTTGTGTTATATCAAATGCTGACTGTACTTGCTAAATTTTGACATACTATCAAATATCTCATCTCTCGTATCAAATCCTAAAATATGTCAACTTTCTACTCATGCATCACATAAATTTGATATATCGATTAGAATGTAAGGTAAAAATGTCAAATTGCGATATAAACAAATTTGAATTTAGTATATAATATTTGACATGTTCTAAAGGCAATTCGTCATTTTCAAATAATCCATTAGATACTACAAGGCATGATATAATTATAATCCAAGTTCCAATTGCCAACTTGTTGTGATCGTGCATCAATTATAGTGAATAATAAGGAATCAAACAATTAAGAAAGAAAG